GTAAAGCGTCTGGAGATTTTAGACAACGGTAAATTTTAAAGATTCTAATCGTTCTAGAATTTTACAATTTTTTAAACTTTTACAGGTCATAGATTTCGAAACTTTGGGAAATTTGATAGGTTGTGAAAATCTTAAAGACTGTAAAAACATTTTATACAAATTGTTCAGATTTGAGAGAATTCAAAATTTCAAACAGCTTTAAAATTAAAGATTGGGGAAATTTTATGCTCGTGAATTTTAAACATTTTCCATGTCGCAGCTTTTAGAAATTTGGGAAATTTTATAGATTATCTAAATTTTTAAGATATTAAATATTTTATAAATCGTAGAAATTTTAGATAATTCAAACAGCTGTAAACACTACACAAAGATTTAAGAAATTTCATGAATTTTCGACATTTATCGGAAGCTTATCAAATTTATAATTTTAAAGTGGTTCTAAAGGTTTTGGAGATTTTAGAAAGCGTTAAAATTTTAGAGATTCGAATCACTCTAGAATTTTACAGCATTTTGAGATTTTAAAAAATAAAAATTCAATAAATTTTTCAGATTTTAAAGAATTCCGAATTTCACATGGCTTTAAAATATTTAATACAGGCGAAATTTTAAATATTTTCGCAATAATAGATAGTTAGAACTTTTAATTTTAAAGCAGTTGGAAAAGGTCTGGAAATTTTAGACAACGGTGAATTTAAAAGATTCCAATCATTCTAGAATTTTACAGTTTTTTAAGTTTTCACAGGTCATAGATTTCGAGAATTTGGGAAATTTTATATGTTGTGAAAATCTTACAGACTGTAAATACATACTATCAGATTTGAGAGAATTCAAAATTTCCAACAGCTTTAAAATTTTTAAGATTGGGGAAATTTTATGCTCATGAATTTTAACCATTTTCCATGTCGCAGCTTTTTGAAATTTGGGAAATTTTATAGATTACCTAAATTTTTAAGGTATTAAGTATTTGATAATTTGTAGAAATTTTAAATAATTCAAATAGTTGTAAACACTGTTAAGATTTAAGAAATTTCATGAATTTTGGACATTTATCGGACGTTTAGAAAATGTATAATTTTAAAGTGGTTGTAAAAGTTTTCGAGATTTTAGGAAACGTTAAATTTTTAGATATTCGAATCACTCTAGAATTTTACAGCATTTTGAATAAAGAGCTTTAAAACATTTAATACAGGCGAAATTTTATGGTCATAAATTTTAAACATTTTTGCAATAATAGACAGTTATTCTAGAATTTTTCAGTATTTTAAGTTTTCACAGGTCATAGATTTCGAAAATTTGGAAAATTTTATAAGTTGTGAAAATCTTATAGACTCTAAATACATATTATCAGATTTGAGAGAATTCAAAATTTCCAACAGCTTTAAAATTTTTAAGATTGGGGAAATTTTATGCTCATGAGTTTTAAACATTTTCCATGTCGCAGCTTTTAGAAATTTGGGAAATTTCATAGATTATCTAAATTTTTAAGGTATTAAATATTTGATAATTTGTAGAAATTTTAGATAATTCAAATAGTTGTAAACACTTTTAAGATTTAAGAAATTTCATGAATTTTGGACATTTATCGGACGTTTAAAAAATTTATAATTTTAAAGTGGTTGTAAAAGTTTTCGAGATTTTAGAAAACGTTAAATTTTTAGAGATTCGAATCACTCTGGAATTTTACAGCATTTTGAGATTTTAAAAACTAAATATTGTGTAAATTTTTCAGATTTTAAAGAATTCCGAATTTTAAAGAGCTTTAAAACATTTAATACAGACGAAATTTTATTGTCATAAATTTTAAACATTTTTGCAATAATAGACAGTTAGAACTTTCTAATTTTAAAGTAGTTGGAAACGGTCTGGAGATTTTAGACAACGGTGAATTTAAAAGATTCTAACCGTTCTAGAATTTTACAGTTTTTTCAGTTTTCACAGGTCATAGATTTCGAAAATTTGGAAAATTTTATAAGTTGTGGAAATCTTATAGGCTGTAAATACATATTATCAGATTTGAGAGAATTCAAAATATCCAACAGCTTTAAAATTTTTAAGATTGAGGAAACTTTATGCTCATGAATTTTAAACGTTTTCCGTGTCGCAGCTTTTATAAATTTGGGAAGTTTTATAGATTACCTAAATTTTTAAGGTATTAAGTATTTGATAATTTGTAGAAATTTTAGATAATTCAAATAGTTGTAAACACTGTTAAGTTTTAATAAGTTTCATGAATTTTAGACATTTATCGGACGTTTAGAAAATTTGTAATTTTGAAGTGGTTGTAAAAGTTTTCGAGATTTTAGAAAATGTTAAATTTTAAGAGATTCCAATCACTCTGAAATTTTACAGCATTTTGAGATTTTAAAAACTAAATGTTGTATAAATTTTTCAGATTTTAAAGAATTCCGAATTTTACACAGCTTTACAATATTTAATACAGGCGAAATTTTATGGTCATAAATTTTAAAGATTTTTGCAATAATAGACAGTTAGAACTTTCTAATTTTAAAGTAATTGGAAAGGGTCTGGAGATTTTAGACAACGGTGAATTTTAAAGATTCTAATCACTCTAGAATTTTACACTTGTTTTAAGATGGGGGAAATTTTATGGACTTGAATTTTAAACATTTTTTCAATCACAAACGTTTAGAAAATTAAATTTCTATTTTAGAAGAGCCGTAGATTCTCAAAATTTTAGAAAATGTTGGATTTTAAAAATTTTAATCATTCTAGAATTTTACAGTTTTTACAGGTCATAGATTTCAAAAATTTGTGAAATTCGGTAGGTTGTGTACGTTTTAAAAACGCCAGATATTCTATAAATGGTTGAGATTATAAAGAATTCAGAATTTCAAACAGCTTTAAAATTTTTAAGGTGGAGAAAATTCTTTGCTTATGAATTTTAAGCATTTTCCACGTCACAGCTTTTAGAAATTCGTAACAACTGTGAAACATTTTCCATGTCGCAGCTTTTATAAATTTGGGAAATTTTATAGATTATCTAAATTTTTAGAATACTAAATATTTAATAAATTGTAGAAATTTTATAATTCAAACAGTTGTAAACACTGTTAAACTTTAAGAAATTTCATGAATTTAGGACATTTATTGGACGTTTAAAAAATTTATAATCTTAAAGTGGTTGTAAAAGTTTTCGAGATTTTAGAAAACCTTAAATTTAAATATTGTATAACTTTTTCATATTTTAAAGAATTCCGAATTTTAAACAGCTTTATTTAAACAGCTTTAAGATATTTAAGGCAGAGAAAATTTTTACAATAAACGTTTAGAAATTTCTAATTTTAGAGTAGTTGTAAAGCTTCTGGAGATTTTAAACAACGTTGAATTTTTAAAGATTCTAATAATTCTAGAATTTTACAATTTTTAAAATTTTAAGATTGGGGAAATTTTATACTCATGAATTTTAAACATTTTCCGTGTCGCAGCTTTTAGAAATTTAGGAATTTTATAATTATCTGAATTTTTAGGATATTAAATGTTTTACAAATTGTAGAAATTTTATAATTCCAGCAGGTGTAAACACTGTTAAAATTTAAGAAATTTCATGAATTTTGGACATTTATCGGACTCTTAGAAAATTTATAATTTTAAAGTGGTTTTAAAAACTAAATATTCTGTAAATTTTTCAGATTTTTAAAGAATTCCGAATTTAAACAGCTGTAAAATATTTAAGAGAGGAAATTTTATAGTAATAAATTTTAAACATTTTTGCAATAATAGAAGTTTAGAAATTTCTGATTTTTGAGAAGTTGTAAAGGTTCTGGAGATTTTAGACAATGGAAAATTTTAAAGATTCTAATCACTCTAGAATTTTAGTTTTTAAAATTTTTACAGGTCATAATTTCGAAAATTTGGGAAATTTTAGAAAATCTTTAGTTTTGGAGTAATAAAAGCCCTTATGATTTTAGAAATTTAGAAATATTATAGAACGTGTTACTTTCAAAGACTAAATATTGTATAAATTGTAGAAAGTCTAGGGAATTCAGAATTCAGAAATTTGGGCATTTAGAAATTCAGGTGTCCATAGAAAATCTTCGGTATTTCGCAAATTTTGAAGAATTTAGACATTCGAACAGGTCAGAAATTCTAGAATTCAAAAATCGTAAAAACTCAAAAAAGTTTACGAGATTCCAGGCATTCTAGAAATTTAAAAAGAATGGAAAATGTTGAAGATCTCGGACATTTTTGACGTAGCGGAGGGTGTAGAGGTTATAAATTTAGGAAGATTTATCCAGAGATTGGAAGAACTTGGACATTTCAGAAATCTCATTTATTTAAGCAGTTTTTGTCATAATAAGTATTCCAAAAATTTTAGATATTTAAAGGTTGAGTATATTCGTGTACTTTATAATAATTTAGAAATTTTGGAGAGTTGAAGATTTTGAAAATTTTGGATATTTTAGAGAGTTCCGAGAATTATATAATATGCATTTGAGAGATCAAAAATACTAGAAATTGGAATTTAAACATATTTGACAATTTTAGATACCTTGTAGATCTTTGTCAGGTTACAAATTTTTCTGATCGTATGGATTTTTGAGATACCAGAAAATCCAAAAAATTATAAAAAATTACTGAAACCATAAGACTTTAAATTATATAGATTATCAATTATCCTGACCTAAAATCTTTAAACCTTAAAAAAAAACTCTGAAACTGAAAATTTCATGCGCCTTTTGCGCAAAGTAACAAAGACAAATTTTTTGTTGTAGAAATTTAAAGTTACATTGTTAAAATCAACGCTACTATAATTTGTTTAAAATCACATATCGACTTTTTCAGAAATCGGTAGAATATTGATAACTGTCAACACTACCACAAATTTTTCAAGAACTCCACGTTACAAACTCTCGCCAAACAACCAGTTCCAAATTCCGTGTGAAAAGCAACACAAACCGCAACAATGCTTTGAAAATCTGCCAAAACCCGAGCTTTTTATCACAGCTGTTGAAGTTTCGCATCCGTAAATTCGCACTAACCTTCGGACAATCCTTAATGTAGTGGCCCTTCTGGAAGCACAAATGGCACATATACGTCGCCGGCGGCCTTTTCAGCGACCTTTTATCTAACGCAATATCTGCGAACTGATCCGCTAGATCACTTATAGTATCCTGAGTATAATTCATGGACGGAAGAAACGTGTTGAGGCTACTCCACGTCGGTGACAGCAATTTTGGCTACAACAAAAATGCTGTTGGTCGTCGTAAACACACCACGCAGGAAAGTGGTACCTGAAAGGGCTCAGCTTGCGCTAGCTGCATCCAGTTCGTCGGGAAGCCCCCATTTAGGAAAGAGTAGTTGCTTAGAGAGTCCAGCTGATTCGTCCTGTTGTTGTAACTCAAATTCGTGGGCTGGGTCAAAAGTGTGGCTGTCGGTGCCATTTTCTTCAACCTGTCAACAGACAGAATTTGAGAGTGGTGCGGGTCGTCCGGTACCTATTGGATTATTTAAATTTAAACATTCCTCGAGGCTTGACCAAGTTTTGGTTTATGAATCAGAGTACTACGGGTTCCCGCCACCGATTTTTGGCCATAAACCAAAACGCTGATCGACATGCACAATCCACAATTTAAAACAAAATGGTCATAATCACCTCTTTTCGAGGACTTCCGGGTCCGAAAAAAAAGACAAGTCCATTTTTGTTAGCATCCACTGAAACACAAGAGGGTTAGCGGCAAGCAGGTGCACGGACTCTTCGCCTGGCCCAAATTTAAGTAGCACACGTGAGAATCCTGGAGAATTTATACCGCGTGAGTCATTGCGATTTTTTCCCGAGCAAAGCTCCAGTTGCATAACAATGTTTCGCAATTGTGGAAACCGAAGAGTGTCAAATCGCGCCAAGAGATAGCGAAGTGAGAAACCCAATCCAGGAGCAAGTGCACGTGTCTATAGGGAACCAGGGGATATGTTTGTTGTTATTTCAGCGCACCAGCGACCACACGTTCGGTTTTCCAGTCGCATTCGGGCCGACGTCACCGGGATGCAGGGAAGCAAAGCATGCGAACTTCGGGGGAGGAGATTACGGGATTACGAGCAAGCATTACAAGACAACGGGAACGAACACCTTACTCACCTGATTCTGCACCAGGAGAACCTTGAATGCGATCTGCGAATGGTCCTAGGGTTTTCTGGATGCTTACAACGTCATGGTGGTGGTGGGGGTACGCAGCTCGTCTTAAAATAAGTCAAGAACTAAGCTGCCTGATTTGAACGATATTTTATTGCTGCCATTGTTTTTCGACGACGATTTTTTAAAGGCGGCGAAGGTCTCTTGAAGCAACGCGAATGGACGGCGATAGAGGGCTTTATCGCGAAAATCACCGAGTAAGCGAAGATTTCGTAACGAACTGGACGTGTTGATGTGTAACTCAACCGGTTAAATCGAGATGTATTAGCGGAAGTGGATTTTTTATTCGGTTTCGGGTCGCTTTGCTGTCGGTGGTGGCTAAAAATGCGACGGAGGCGGAGGTAGCAAAATTTGGCGGAGATGACGGGGGGTACACAAAGAAGCCCATTTTGACATGTTCGGGGTACTTCGAAATGTTTTCTGAAACAAAGTTTTATTGGTAAAAATGGTAAATATCTGATTCATGAACGTATCTTTCTTAAAGTTGACGGCATAAATATTTAAACTTTATCTAGTTACAATTTATCAATAAATGTTGATTATACCAGTCGGGTGATTTCCAATGTATTTTTAAAAAAATTGTTTAGGACACATCCATACATATATTATTTTTATTATTTATAAATTTATCTTTAGAAAATAACAAGATTAAAATTTTCCATGTTTTCCCCTTAATTTTTACTTCGAGAGCATAATGTAAGGAAGTATTGTAATCGAGTCCATTTGGCATCTTTTATGTTTTCGCAATATTTCATGACCCCGAAAGTACGAAAAAATAAGTTTCCCGTTTCCGTCTGTCTGTCTGTGTGCTTGCCTGTCTGCCTTCTATCCAGATTTTTTAGACAGATAATCCCCATTTATGAATCCGTGTTTAGTATTTACCTTAGAATCCAAACTTTTGTAAAAAAATTAAAATTGTATAACAATTTACAATTTAACTTAGAAATTGCAAAATCGGAAGCTTTGAAATCTTTTCATCCGTTCATGCCCCCCTCCCCAGGAACTGATGTTCGTCTTCCAATTTTGTCAACTAAATGGTATTTAAATATTAAAAATTGTAAATATATGACAATTTTTCGATTTTTTTTTTTGAATCTTCAATATTTTGGCTTTCCGATTTCTCGATTTCTCAATTTTTGGATATTTAAGTTTTGGGATTTTTCACTTTTTTCGTCGATTTTCAATTTTGCGATATTCCCGTGTTGGACTTTTTAAATTTTTCGATTCTGCAAGTGTTCGAATTCTCAATTTTTCATTTTTTGATATCCCAATTTTCCGATGTTTCAGTTTTATAATTTTTCAATCTTGCGATTTTTAAATTTTTCCATTTTTTAATTTTTGACGCTTTTTTTCAATTTTGCAGGTTTCTGATTTTTCAGTTTTATGATTGTTTCAACTACGATTTTTCGCCTTTTCGATTACTCGATTTTCTATTTTTTCCTTTCTCAGTTTTCGATTGTGAGTTTCGAGATTTTTCGATTTTAAAATTTTTCGATTTTTTCATTTTTGACCCTTCTAAATTTTTGATTTTTCGATTTCTCGAGTAATCGATTTTTTCGCCTCTTCGATTTTTCGATTTTTCATTTTTCGCTTTCTCAATTTTCGGTCGTGTCCTTTTTTCTTCTATTTTTCTAATTTTCGATATTTCACTCTTTCAATTTTAATTCCTCAATTTTTCGATTTTTTGATTTTTGATTTCTCGATTTTTTGTCTTCTCGATTTTTCAATTTTAAAATTTTTCAATTTTTCTATTCTTTAGTTTTCCATGTTGTAATTTTTCAGTTTTAAAAATTTTAGATTTTTAGATTTCTCGATTTTTCAGTTCTTCGATGTTTCTGTTTTTCAATTTTTCGATTTTTCCATTCATCGAGATTTCGATGTTTTGATGTTTCCATTGTTTAGTTTCTTAGTTTTTCAATTTTTCAATTTTTCGATTTAGTGATTTATCGATTTTTTTTAGTTGTAAATTTTTCAGTTTTTAATTTTTCGATTTTGGGCTATTTCGATTTCTCAACTTTTAGATTTTTCGACTTTTCCAATTCTTAATTTCTCGAGTTCGCTATTTTTCAGTTTTTCAATTTTTCAGGGTTTTGATTTTTCAGTTTTATGATTTTTCGACTTTTCGATTCCTCGATTTTTCGATTTCTCAATTTTTCGATGTTTCGGTTTTGAAATTTTTTAATTTTTCGTTTCAATTTTTCTTCGATTATTCGGTTTTTCTATATTACAGTTTTGAGATTTTCCAATACTTGATTCTCCGATTTTTCGATTTCCCGATTTTTTAATTTTTCGATTTTTCGGTTTTTAGATCCGTCAATTTTTCGATTTTTCGAGTTTTCCGTTTTTTGGCTTGTTCCCGATTTCTCAAGTTTTGGATCTTTAAGTTTTGGGATTTTTCAGTTTTTCGATTCTGCAAGTGATCTATTCGTTTTTTTTTTTATTTTTCGATTTCACAATTTTCCGATGTTTCAGTTTTACAATTTTTCAATTTTGCGATTTTTCAATTTATTGATTTATCGATTTTTTTTAGTTGTAAATTTTTCAGTTTTTAATTTTTCGATTTTGGGCTATTTCGATTTCTCAACTTTTAGATTTTTCGTTTTTTCCAATTCTTAATTTCTCGAGTTCGCTATTTTTCAGTTTTTCAAATTTTCAGGGTTTTGATTTTTCAGTTTTATGATTTTTCGACTTTTCGATTCCTCGATTTTTCGATTTCTCAATTTTTCGATGTTTCGGTTTTGAAATTTTTTAATTTTTCGATTCAATTTTTCTTCGATTATTCGGTTTTTCTATATTTCAGTTTTGGGATTTTCCAATACTTAATTCTCTGATTTTTCGATTTCTCAATTTTTTAATTTTTCGATTTTTTGGTTTCTAGATTCTTCAATTTTTCGAGTTTTCAATTTTTTAGCTTGTTCCCGATTTCTCAAGTTTTGGATCTTTAAGTTTTGGGATTTTTCAGTTTTTCGATTCTGCAAGTGATCCTCGTTTTTTTATTTTTCGATTTCCCAATTTTCCGATGTTTCAGTTTTACAATTTTTCAATTTTGCGATTAAATCTTTCGAAATTTAAATTTTTCGATTTTTTAATTTTTCGATTTTTCGGTTTTTAGATTTCTCAATTTTTCAATTGTTTTTGTTTTGAAATTCTTCAATTTTTCTTCAAATTTTCGATATCTCAGTTCTGGGATTTTTCAATATTTAGTTCCTCAATTTTTCGATTTTCATTTCTCGATTTTTTACTTTTTGGATTTTTGAATTTTTCGATTCAATTTTTACGTTTTAAGTTTTCAGTTTTTAAAATTTAAAATTTTTCCATTTCTCGATTATTCAGTTCTTGGATATTTCCATTTTTCAAATTTTTGATTTTTCAGTTTTTAGATTTCTCGATTTATCAAGATTTCGATGTTTGGATTTTTCGGTCGTTCAATTTCTCAGTTTTTCGATTTTCGATTTATTGGTTCAGACTTTTTTATTTTAAATTTTGCAACTTTTAAATTTTCGATTTTGAGTTATTTTGATTTCTCATTTTTTCTATTTTTAGACTTCTCGACTTTTGGAGTTCATGATTCTGGAGTTTTCGATTTTTCAGTTTTATGATTTTTGAAATTTTCGATTTTTCCACCACGATTTTTCGACTTTTCAATTCCTCGATTTTTGTTCTTTCGGTTTTGAAATTTTTCAAATTTTCAATTAAATTTTTCTTCAATTTTTCAGTTTTTTTATACACATTTCAATTTTTCAGTTTTTCTATATTTCAATTTTGAGGTTTTTCGGTATTTAATTCTGAAATTTTTCGATTTTCCGATTTTCAATTTTAAGATTTTTTCAATTTTTAGATTTTTTTTCGATTTTTTTGATATTTCGATTTCTCGACTTCAATTTTTTTATTCTTCGATTATTCGATATTTTAATTTTTCAATTTTTAAAACTCTAGATTTTTCAATTTCCCCATTTTTCAGTTCTTCGATATTTCCATTTTTCAATTTTTCGTTTTTTCAGTTTTTCGATTTTTCGATTTATCGTTTCATCGATTTTTTTGTTTTAAATTTTGCAACTTTTAATTTTTCGATTTTTTGACTTCTCGACTTTTGGAGTTCTCGATTTCTCGAGGTTTCGATTTTTCAATCCTTCAGTTCTTCAATTTTTCAGGTTTTTGATTTTACACTTTTATGATTTTTGAAATTTTCGATTTTTTGAACTACGATTTATCGATTTTGCGATTACTCAATTTTTAGTTTTTCGATTTGATAATTTTTAGATTTTTTAATTTTTCGATTTTTTTGAAGTTTCGATTTTTCGACTTCAATATCTCGATTCTTCGATGTTTCGATTTCTCGATTTCACTTTTTCGATTCTTCGATTTTCGACATTTTAATTTTTGAATTTTTAAAATTTCAGGAGTTTTAATTTCTCGATTTTTTTTTTTATGTTAAATTTTCAAACGTTTAATTTTTCGATTTTGGGCAATTTTGAGTTCTCATTTTTTGGTTTTTCGACTTCTCGACTTTTCGAGTTGTTGATTTCTCGAGTTTTCGAATTTTCAGTTTTTCAAATCTTCAAATTTTTCAGGTTTTTGCATTTCAGTTTTATGATTTTTATAATTTTCGATTTTTCTTCTTTCGGTGATGAAATGTTTCAATTTGTCTTCGATTTTTCAGTTTTTGGATATTCCAATTTTGAAAATTTTCAGTATTTAGGTAATTCCTCGATTTTTACTTTTTCGATTTTTCAATTTTTGAATTTTTTTGATGTTTCTATTTCTGGACTTTTCAAAGTATCGATTCTTCGATATGTTAATTTTTCAATTATTTTAATTTAAAATTTTTCAGTTATTCGATGTTTTAATTTAATCATATTTTGAAATTTTAGGTTTGTCAGTTCTTCATTATATTGATTTCTCGATTTTACGAATTTTCAATTTAAAATGTTTTAATTGTTCAGTTCTTAACTTTTCGATTTTTCGATTTTTGGCTATTTCGA